GTTTTCCATCCTTTTATTCTGAGGTAGTGTCTGTCTTTGTCACTGAGGTGTGTTTCTTGTATGCAGCAAAATTCTGGGTCTTGTTTGTGTATCCAGTCTGATAGTCTGCGTCTTTTTATTGGGGAATTGAGACCATTGATGTTAAGAGATATTAAGGAAAAATGATTGTGGCTTCCTGTTATTTTTGTTATTAGAGGTAAAGTTATGTTTGTATAGTTATCTTCTTTTGGGGTTGTTGGAAGATTACTTCCTTGCTTTTTCTAGGTTGTAGTTTCCCTCCTTGTTTTGGCGTTTTCCATCAATTATCCTTTGAAGTGCTGGGTTTGTGGGAAGATATTGTGCAAATTTGGTTTTGTCATGGAATATCTTGGTTTCACCATCTATAGCGATTGAGAGTTTTGCTGGGTATAGTAATCTGGGCTGGCAATTGTGTTCTCTTAGGGTCTGTATGATGTCAGTCCAGGCTCTTCTGGCTTTTATAGTCTCTGGTGAGAAGTCTGGTGTAATTCTTATAGGTCTGCCTTTATATGTTACTTGACCTTTTTCCCTTACTGCTTTTAGTATTTTTTCTTTGTTTTGTACATCTGATGTTTTGATTATTATGTGATGGGAGGTATTTCTTTTCTGGTCTAGTCTATTTGGCTTCTTGTATGTTTATGGGCATCTTGTTCTTTAGGTTAGGGAAGTTTTCCTCAATAATTTTGTTGAAGATATTTACTGGCCCTTTAAGTTGGGAATCTTCATTCTCATCTATACCTATTAGCCTTAGGTTTGGTCTTCTCATTGTGTCCTGGATTTCCTGGATGTTTTGAGTTAGGAGTTTTTTGCATTTTGCATTTTATTTGACAACTGTGTCAATATTTTCCACCTTATCTTCTGCATTTGAGATTCTCTCTTCTATCTCTTGTATTCGGTTGGTGATGCTTGCATCTATGACTCCTGATCTCTTTCTTAGGTTTTCTATCTCCATGGTTGTCTCCCTTTGAACTTTCTTTATTGTTTCTATTTCCAGTTTCAGATCCTGAATGTTTTTGTTTAATTCCTTCTTTGTATTTTCTTCCATTTCTTTAAGGGATTTCTGTGATTCCTCTTTAAGGGCTTCTATCTGTTTACTTGTACTCTCCTGTATTTCTTTAAGGGAGTTACTTATCCTTCTTATAATCCTCTATCATCATCATGAGAAGTGATTTAAATTCTGAATCTTGCTTTTCAGGTGTGATGGGGTGTTCAGGGCTTGCTATATTGGGAGAACTGGTTACTGATGATGCCAAGAAACTTTGGTTTCTGTTGCTTATGTTCTTGCGCTTGCCTTTCGCCATCTGGTTAACTCTAGTGTTACCTGCCCTCACTGTGTAAGACTGGAGTCTGTATTTCCAGTTATCTTGCTTATTGCAGAGCTCCTCGGAGTCCAGATGTCTCTGTGGTCTTATGCTCCTAATCTCCTGGGTGGAAGAACTCCTGGGACTCAGGCCACTTCTTGGATCTGGAAATCCTTCTGCTCTGAGTGCAGTGGCTCCTCAGCTGCTCTGAGTGCAGTGGCTCCTCGATGACTCAGGATTCAGTTT